CTCATACCACTCCTTTTTCCTCAGGGCCCTGAATAGCTGTTCAGGATAAAACAGTGACTCGCCAGCCTGATACCATAGCAACATGCCCCTTTGACATATTAAAAAATTATTGAAAAGTATTTTTTAACTGTTACTTTAACAAGAGAGGTCAGAGCCTTTTATGTAGCAGTTGGTACCTTCTTATAAATTGCTGTGTGGGTTTTAGCTTCTTTATATAGCTCAGCTATAAGAGCCTGAACACATATTGTAACTGGGCCATAACTTGGGCTGAAGTTTTGCTGTCAGTGAGATGTGCTGACATCTGCTTGTTGACAAAGTCCTCTTTAGAAACCTCTCCCTTGTGCCCTGTATGAAGTATTGTACATAGTTTGCAGAAGGATCGTCCACTGGATGGAATCAGAGCCGCTCCTGTGTGTTTGCATTTGGCTTTACTGCAGTCATTTGAGTTTTCAAGTTGTGACCCTCTCCCTCGTTAACGGCAGAGCTCAAGCAGTTCTGTTGGCAGACAGACGTGCCTTCTAAGGCAGGGGACAAAGGGATTTTTCATCCATTACTAATTGATGTTACTCTTTTCAGCAGACCAAACATGATTCTACTGTACAGCTGCCAAAATTGTCCCAGACCCAGAAAGAATAGCCATTCTTTCTCAAGTATTTCTTATTTTTTTACCTAACTTAACAAATGTTTCCTTTAGCTTTCAGCTACTTTTAGGGGGGACTGATCACTTATATACTAGTAGGTATACACCAATTGAGTATTCTTTTATGAACAAACAGAGCTTACAGCCATTTTAGTGTTGCTATGGCTAACTCCAAGAAGCAGTATCATTCCAAGAGTGTTGAGAAATTTGCAAAAGAGAAAGTGAACCCCCAAAACCATTATGCATTATCCACAGGGTGTGATTTCAGGCTCAGAATTGAGTGTCTCCCAAGGGATCCCCTTGGTGTCCAACAGCTACTGTAAGTTTGACTTTCCCCCTCTGACCTCTCTCCTCCTCACTCACGACCCTGTGATTTGTAGGTATCCAACTGGTTTGGCAACAAACGAATCAGGTACAAGAAGAATATCGGCAAGTTTCAGGAAGAAGCCAACCTCTACGCTGCAAAGACAGCCGTGACAGCCGCACACGCAGTGGCCGCAGCTGTGCAGAACAACCAGACCAATTCGCCCACCACGCCAAATTCTGGTGCGTACTGGGCGCTCACTCCCTGCTCAGCCCAGGCAGCCTTAGGCCACAAAGCCCTGTCCCACAGGTCAGGAAGCAAGAGCCCTACTGACGGCACGGTGGCTTTATAAAGGAAGAATTGTGTAAAAATGCAGGCTTGCTCCTGGGATGGGGAATGACTGAATGGCCAGAGCCCGTACAAACTTACTGTTACAGTGAGTTCGCTCGCTACTGGTAGGTTTTGGAACTTTCGCACTTTGTAGTGGTTTTTAATTCAGCAGATTAGGCAACGTGCCACCACTAATGATTACTTTAACTATATTCTTCTATCATTTTAAGGTCAATAGTGCCTGTCAAAGAATGAAATAGCAGAAGTGGGACATTTATCTGTTGCTGTGCAATGAGGCTAGAATGTTGGAGTGAAGTTCAGTCCTGCTTTATACCTCATGCGGTCACAGACTTGTCTGCTGCCCTTCTTAGCATTTCCCCAGCACCTGTGCTGGCTTGCTAGGATTGGCGGGTGGTTAGCTGTGAGGGATGTGGGACTTAATACATGGGTGCAATATCTTGGCTCCTCATACCTAAATTTTATGTGACATTTGTGATGGAATTAGAAACTTCTTAAAATTACAGGGAACTTGAGTGACAATGAATGTTGTGCAGCTGGTCCAAACAGATAGACTTGAGAAGCAATTCATACTATTAATATATATCTTTAAAAATTCAGAAATGGGGGAGTTTTCTGTTTGTTTTGTGGTCTTTCTCTCTCCCCCCCCTGCCCCCCGGGTTTTTAATGGAACATGAAAACAGATGGAAGTTAGGTAGAATTATGGCTTAGAACGAGCTTCAGAAAAATATTTCTTCTCTGGGTAGTTGTCCACCATGGAATTAATGATGGTGAAGAGCATATTTAATGACCAGATCCTGGAGATAAAACGGGATGGTGCCAGGCCAGCTACTAGGTGTTTTTCTGTTTATTTTGATTTTCTCTTTGTTTCTTATTGAGCTTCCCCATTGGTAGGACTCTCCTAGCTGTAACATGACTCGGGACCTAGCTCTTTGCCATTACTCTCCATCCTCTTAGCCCGGAAATGCTTCATGTGTGCAGACCTTTCCCTCCTGTGCCTGTCCTCCTTTCCCGCCTCTAGGTCTGTGAGGGTTGTGTGTAGCTCTCTGTTATTCAGCCACTTAACTCTTTCCTTTCCAGGTTCTTCTGGTTCTTTTAACCTCCCAAATTCTGGGGACATGTTCATGAACATGCAGAGTCTGAATGGGGATTCTTACCAAGGGTCCCAAGTCGGAGCCAATGTGCAATCACAGGTAGGAGAAATGCCCCGCCTGGGGCCTTTCTGGCAGGGTAGGGTTTGGGCTCAAAACTCCTTGCTCTCACCCCGTGGAAGTGGCCTGCACATCTGTGCAGGACCTGGGCTGGGTGCTTCCAGACGTGACCCATCAGCCCCACATTTAATTTAACGAGAAGTCAAGCGAACAGCGACTTTTGATGATTCAAACTTGATCAACTTTGTGAATGCATTCGGCTCTGGCTTGAGCTCATGGAGAGGGGTTAGGGGCATCTTATTTTGTACCAAAATAGACCAGAAAAATTGTGTGTACCAGTGAGTGTATGATTTACAAATAGATTACTGTTTTATGTCTGTGTTTTTTTAAGTCAGAATATAAAAACCTAAGTTCTTAAAATATATTCCAGGTTCAACATTTTTCTCATCCTGTTGAGAACAGTTTTTATGCACATAGGTGTGTGTGTGTATGTGCGTGCGCGCGCGTGTGTGTGTATATGTGTGTGAGAGAGATCAGTATACACATTTATAAGTAGATTTCACCCACAGCCACCACACACATTTGGTCGGTGTAGATGGAAAGTTTGCATTGCCATGAAGACATTACTGTTTCTGGCATAAAAGACGTGTGAGTTTAAACATGCAAAGAATGGTTAAAATTCTGCCAGTCACGTTTGATTGATAATGTGTCTTTCATTGAAGATGCTAAACCCACGTGGCACACATAATTTAAATTGTTTCCTTTTGTAAGTGATGATGTTTTAATAGATTTGTGATGATGAATTTTGTTTCGTCTCACTTCTAGGTGGATACCCTCCGTCATGTTATCAATCAGACGGGAGGCTACAGTGATGGCCTTGGAGGAAATTCACTGTACAGTCCACATAATTTAAATGTGAGTACTCTGGGGAACCACATGTGAAGAGCTGTAGAAATAGTGTCAGGTAAACAGCGACTAATAAATAAATTAATGGCCATTTGACTTGGCTTCTCATCTGTGGGCAGGTAGGGAAGGCAGCGTCTTCACTACCCTTTTATTTTATGAATTTAAACACTTGTTGCTTACATGCCCTTAGAAGTCCTCACAGATGCCCAGAGTGCATCATCAATAGGGGCTAAAACACCTGTCCATCAAGGTGCCATCTCCTACTGCCTCTGCCGTGTGGGTCCAGGAAAAAGGTGAAGAACAAGTCATTTATCTGAGAATCGAGCAGCAGGAAAAATTCCCCCACACAGCTCAGGCGAAGGGGACAGCCTTGGAGGGCCCACACGATCAACAAAGGCTGCACAAAGGATTCTGCTCTTCAGAGCAGTTTGCTGTGCTGTCAGCATGGAAGACACACTGCCCCTCAGGTTTTAATTATGGAGGAACTGATTTTAACTTTCGTAGCCAATTCAGCTTAACATTCCCCCCCGCCCCCCACACACACATGGATGGAAAATGGGGTGGGGGGTTGGGGAGGTGGCGGGGATTAGGTCATTAGGGTGGAGCTGGGATTCCAGATTTAGGGAGGAAATGAACCACCCAACACATGGTGGTAGAGTCAGGAAGAAAATGGACACAATTCTCCCTTTTTAGGGCCTTGACTTGCTATGAGAGTAAAATATTAATGATTTAAAAAGTGATTGAGGATGTTCAATTGTAACGGGGAAAAAGGACCATTAAATACTCAAATCTTTTACATTTGAAATGTCAAATCTTTCTTTTTGGGTTTATAAATAACTCATAATAACCCACAACAAACCATATAAAAAGCCTTTTAGTTGCATTTCTCCTTTTTCATTTAAGTGTTTTGAAATGCTTCAGAGAATGTGCGATATCCTTATCAACATGATAAAATATGAAACTGTGATTGCCTGCAGCGTTTTACAGACATGAATTCCATCTTCACTGATGAGGCTTGATAAGGCGCTGTTGTATAATACAGTGCATAATCTCAAACCACCAGAGTAAGGATTAATTTATTTTGAAAAAAAAAGAATGCTTGCTGACAACCTCTCCTCCAGCTGCCAGGCTGGGTAAAAATATTGTACATTTGTTGTTTATAAATTTGGATAAAAGAGGAATGATGTTTACTTCAGATGGAATGTCTTCAGACTTGTATCTGCATAAGAGTCTTTCTTTTTCTAAGTAGATTTTCATACCTGAGGGTGAAAACTCTCATAGCTTACCTTTTAGATAGAGAAGAGGATTTCTTAGCGTCCACACAAATACGCATAAGCATGTCAGCATCCGCCCTGCACTACTGAGGCTTCGAAATACACTGCTGACACTGGTTTTTTTCCTAACCTGAACGCCTCAAACCGGAATATCCCTTTCCCTTTGGCTCTGGCCATCTCTGTGGGTGATCCTAGGGAGGAAAGGGAGTTCTCCAAGAACAGCCATCACGGGAGAAGGAAGAATTCCCAGCACACGGCTCATCTAGCAGCCAGCACCAGGCTGCACAGGGAATCTAGAGAGTTCTCAGAAGCCTGCTGACACAGGCCTAAAGGAAGACATTTTGGGTGGCCTCTCAGAAGTTGCAGACGGATGTGAAGGATGCAGGAGGACCGGGGAGCCTCATGACCACACTGACATGGGTGTGGGAGGTCCGGACCTGGGCCAGCCCCGCATGAGGCCCCTCTGTGCCGCGGGCGCTGGGTGTCAGCCAGCTCGCCCTCGCCTTCTCTCCAGAAAGGCCCGCCCCGTCACTTCCACTCAGTGTTCCCCAACTCACAAGCCCAGCACCTCCCTCTTGACTGACATAAAAATATGTAGCGACAAGCTGTCTGCCACAGCAGAAATCTGATCAGACGTTGATTTCAGCAATTGCCTCGATAGGCCAAGACATGAGGCAAATTTGTTTCTGAGTACTGTTATTGCTGATGCAGACCTGAGGCAGGAAGGCCCAGTGGCTTGTGAAAAGCGGTAGCAACATCCCAGATAGGAGCTCCCGTTAGAGATAATTGGAATGCAGATTTGAATAGTGTGTGCTCCTCCACAGTTGGTGCGTTTTCATTCTGGAGGATCCTATTTGGAGGGGAAGCCTGGCCTTCGTTTTCCCGGGATTATAGCAGCTGACTGTCCGCCTGTGTGAAAAAGGGCGGGCGGTTCTTCTCGATGGAGACGAGGATTAAGCCAGGCTGAAGTTTGTACTCCGTGGACCCACGGTCTTGCTGAGGCATTGCCCTGACTTCTCCACTGCTCCCTTCTGAAAAGATTCCCTTTCTAGTCACCTCCTCTTTACCAGCAAATCACAGGCTAAGGTCGGTGCCAGCTTCAGACTGGCAGAGCCCTCCCTCAGTGTGCTGATTTATTGCCAAGTCTTTACTTGGTGGGATGGATTTGTTTTACATGCATTTAATCCCACTTTAACACATGCTTCAAAGTGCTGCCAAAGTGGGTTTAGAAAATACATTTCGCTAATGCATCTTTGCTCTCATGTTGTCATCTGGTATTTTAAATCGGGGAGTAGAATTAATATGTAGACGTGCACCCGTTGAACTGTGTTTCTCCTTTCAGGCTAATGGAGGCTGGCAGGACGCAACAACTCCATCTTCTGTGACTTCTCCTACAGAAGGCCCAGGAAGTGTGCACTCTGATACCTCTAACTAATCTCTGGCAACACTTTCCCTGAGCTGACATGCCTCGCTAGTGCATTCAGAGCAATAGGAGGAGAAGGAAAGCAGTTTTGTGGCCCACCATCTACAGCTTTACTGTAAAACCTTGTCTTATTAGAGAACTTGGTCATCTGTTTTTTAAAGAATCATAATCATTTGTATTTATACTTAAAAACACACAATGTTTAAAAAAAAAAAGCACTTTATCCAATTAGGCCAAGATTTAACATTGTTGACAGTCCTGTAGCTATTTTATCATAATTTATTATCAATATTTTACATTAATGGTTTCACAGTTGCCAAGAACTTTGGCCTTAAGGGTAAAAAAGTACAATGTATGCTAAACCTCAATGGTTAAAGCAGATGCAAAGACTCACCTCACCTAAACTGAACTTCTCGCGTGTTTCCATCGCAGACTTTGCTTGTCTCTCTTTCATATTGCTAAAGGAGTTGGAATAAAGGAGCTATTTGGCTATCTCTGTTAATGATGGTTGTGCTTAAGACTCTTCTTCGTCACATTTTGTTGCGATCTCTTATGTTATAATTAGATCAGAGACTGGTGGCATCTTTTCTCTCTCTCAAAGCACCAGTGCCCAGAGTCTGCTTGGTAATTAAATTATGGATCCAGACTGTTCTGGGAGATGAAGGTACTTGCTGCTGATGGAGGTGAACATGAGATCCATCTGGGTTTTACGATGTGCACTGGGTGCTGCACAGACTTGTCAAGGTTTGCTACGTCCTCTGGGCATTGACCAAGGCTCTGCTCTCTGGAGTGTTGTATATAGTGTAGCAAAAGAGTATTTATACATCTCACCAATCAAAACACAGCTTTATTACCTCATGCGAACTCATACAAACCAATAGAATTTCAACATGTTCTGTAGCTTAGAGTGCTCACTTACTACCTCTGAACAATACTCACGCTGTAGTTTGTCTCTTTCTTATCTTTTTGCATCTTGTAATTAACTCTTCGTTTCCCTTCATAAAATGTAATGTACATTGTAATCTTTTAAAAGAAAAATCAGGGTTGCATTTGCAACTTTTAAAAAACCGAGGGTGGAAACATTGGGTCTTTAACACAGAATCAGTAAAACTGTTGTAAATACTGAGAAACATTTTGAATGTTCTTCATCTTGTTACTAATTCATGCAAAAAAAAAAAAAAAGCGGCGACTAATTGTGATGCATTCGGATTTCAGTATTCAGTACTGTATATTTCACCCTGTGTGATGGGGCCCCTCTCCTTTCTCTCTTTTTGTATTGTATGCGATTCTGAAACTGATTGAGTCATGAAAATAATTTGTGGCGGTGATTCTAATGTATTAAAAGCGTTTCGTGTTCCTTTCTAACTGGATTACACCCTGGATTGAAAAAGTCTTCCTCCTCATAGTTATATGTAGTTTCAAACATGAATAAACTTTTTGCTTTCATGATTAAATGTTGATGCCGTTTCTTACACCACCACGTGAACCAGCCAATACAGACCCAGGGGAGAGCCTGCCCAAGGCGGGCCTGGGTGCGCAGGTGTGTGGCCTGTGAGAGGGGGACTTTGAGGTGACGGTGGTGTTGGCAGGATGGAACAGCCCCTACCATCTGACAGCTCTGTGTGCAGGCTCCTGGCTAGTTGCCAGCCGCTGTTCCCTGCCCTCCTGATCCTTGCGCTCTGAGCATGCCTAAGGAACACTTGCATTTTCATAGATTAGGAAACTAAAGCTCATAGAGGCTAGCTAAGCAAATGCCACCGGCCACACACCTCGGACAACAGGGGCCATGTTTGAAGCTGGGTGTCTACCCTTGGAGCTTACCCTCTCCATCCTGACCTCATGATGCAGTTGGCACTCGCTAGCTAAGTGGAAAAGCCTTTGTTGTAACTTTAAAAATAGCCAGTCTTGTCATGCTCATTTCTTCACTTTCATAACTTCTGTGAGACACCAGTTAAGAACAAGCAAAAGTTTGTCTGGAAAGAGTAACCCTCAGATGCCATTAAATATATATATATATATGTGTGTGTGTATATATATATATATATATATATATATATGAAACCTGCAACTTATCTTAACACATTTTTAATTGGAGAGAGAGAAACATTTGTTGTCCATTTACTTATGCATTCATTGGTTGATCGAACCTGCAACCTTGACGTATCGGGATGATGCTCTAACCCAGTGGTTCTCAACCTTCTGGCCCTTTAAATACGGTTCCTCATGTTGTGACCCAACCATAAAATTATTTTCGTTGCTACTTCATAACTGTAATGTTGCTACTGTGATGAATCGTAATGTAAATATCTGAAAGGGTTGTTCGACCGCCAGAGGGGTCGCGACCCACAGGTTGAGAACCGCTGCTCTAACGACTTGAACTATGGAGGGCCAGACTATAGTTTAAAAAAAACTATGAACAAATTCCTATGCACACTGCACATATCTTATTTTTAAGTAAAAAAAACAAAACGGGAACAAATACAATATTTGTATTTGCATGTGGCCCTGCGGGCTGTAGTTTGAGGACCCCTGGGCTAGGGCCTTAACATAGCTTTTAAAAAACTCTAAACTTGTAAAATGTAAGACCAACTAGACATCCTTTAACTAGATTAAACATTGTTTTTGTTTTATTCAAATGGTTAGAAATTTCACATACGTACATACACAGCTGTCGCTGATATCCAAATCTTTATAATAAAAGAAGTCAATAGCAGGTAATTGGCCTGTTTACTATATATCTCAAGGAAATTGACTCACAGGAAATCAAATTAATGTTAATCAGTTGCAGCCAATTGTCTATGATAAATACAACTGTTTTACTGTTTGAATTGGTGGAACCAGGCAAAACAGGGTGTAGGGCCACCATTCCCATTAATCTTGAGCCAGTTATGCTGTGAGAGTCAACTTTATAAAATAGATGGCCCTCCAAAGCCATCCTCCCTCGCGCGGGCTCAGCCTGCCTGCAGGAGCCTCTCCCAGGGCTAAGCAGTTATTTGCATGATTCAATTAGTGTATGGGTCAGCCTTTCTTATCTTTTACATAAAACCGCCTCTATGCTGTGTGGCTTTGCAAAAATACCCTGTGGACACCGGGCACACATGCACACACAAATATGTCTTCTTTAACTTCCTAAGGACCGTCTCAGGGTTGACCTCAGGTTTGTTGAGAGAAGCATATTTCCAGTGTTTGTTGGAGATTTACACCTTGACCGGCAACCCTTGGGGTGGGAGGCGAAGGCTTTGTCCTGGGGAGGCCTAAATAAAAACAGAGGGGGCATATGTGTTCCCTTGCTCATGGAGTTGGGGGGAGGGCAGAAGCATCCTCACTTCATACATGAGGGAACTGGGGTGCAGCATGAGCCCCCAGGTTCTTAGGCCTCACTCCAAATTGGATGAAATGTGTTGACTTGATAGGTTTTCACCAGGTACCTTTTCTGGATCAAGCAGTGGGTTAGACCCAGAGATGAATGAAATCTGGCTGCAGCCCTTGTTCAGAAAGCAAATGCTTGGTCAGGGTATTAGAAAAAGGCTGGTGGGTTGCTGGACCCCGAGACGAGAAGGGGGGATCTCACAACTCATTCTCAAGGTCAAAGAAAATAACAGTAGGAGACCACCTGAGACATCCGATCACAGGCTAAGGGGCCTGTCCACATGGATGCACAGGGCACAGGTGTGCTCATTGGAGCCCGGGTGCCTGAGCAGCTCCTCCCGTTGGACAGGTGTCAGCCTTCCACTCCGAGTAGGTACACGAGCAGGGTGGGAACCCCTGTCCTGGAGCAGGTCGCCTTGCAAACCAGGTTAGAACCTCTGTCCCCTGAACTGAACTGAGCAGCTGCCTCCTGCCATTCCCAGCCTGAGTGGTGGTGGGAGGGGCCGTGTTCTAGAGCAGCGGTCGCCTACCTGTGGTCCGCGGACCCCTAGCGAGGGCTGTTCTAGAGCAGCCCCTTCCTGTGCGGGGAAAGTGACGCGGGGATACGTCTCCCAGGTGGGGTCGTGTTTTAGGTGTCGTCTGTGTGTTGTGCCATGAGAAGTTGATGTTGAGCATCTCTGGGTCAGCCCTTGGCCAGGCCCTTCCTGTACGTTCCCTTATTTAATGCCGGCGGCGCTCCTGGGACAGGGGATTTGTCACCCCATTTCAGAGGGGAACGCTGAGGCTCAGCGTTGACACTGCCTGTCCTCATCTCCTGCAGCTGGAGTTTGCCCTGTGAAGGCCCCAGGGACACCTTCCAGCAGCCGCTCTCGGTGGGATGGAGAGAGGCGTCTGTGGACTGGAGCCATCCAGCCTCCAGTGTGAGGTCCCTTCTGGGACAGGGTGACGGCCTCTCAGCGCTCGCTCTCTCCCGCCTCTGCCTCTGGTGCTTGGGCCGCAGGAGTGGGTGTCCTGTGGTGTGTACAGGGCCCGTGTCATAGGTCTGGTGGTTCTGTCTGTGGATCACAGGGTTGGGATGGGAGAGAGGAAGAGCCGTGCACCCGGCTGGGCCTGGCACCGTAGTGCTGACAGACCTGGGCAGTGCCCATCACGATGCACGAGAAGAGCTGGGCATGCTCCCTGCGTGCACTTTATTTGGGGTAGAGTTCTGTCTGTGCCCCTGAGGGTGCCTTTCCCAGGTTCTGTCCAGCCCTGGCCCCTGGCCTCTGGCCCCTTAGCCCATTGCCCACACAACCCACTTGGGGGTGCTAGCAGATCTCGCGTCCAGGCATGGATTTGAATCCTGGCCCTGCTTCCTACCAGCTGTGTGACCTAGGGTGAGGGATTTAACCTCTCTGAGCCTGTTTCCTCACTTCTTCTTGGAACATCATCTGTGTACCCCACCTCCCTGGCGAACGGCTGTCCTCTAAGGCCGAGCCCAGACCACTGTGCCCTCCAATGGAGTCAGGCCCTGCCTTTACCTCGGGTATAGTGAAAACCGGACTATGGGCATCCACTCAGAGACCTGGGGGAGGGGGAGGGGGAGGAGGAGGAGGAGGGAGAGAAGGAGGAGGAGGAGGACTGAGTTGGGTGAGGGGCCGGGCACAGGGAAGGGTGGCCCAGACAAGGGAAGGGCATGTGCAAAGCTCAGAGAGCATGGCGAACAGAAGGCAGAGCCGTGGATCCTAGCTCTCCCACTTCCCAGGTCTCCAAACCCTCCCAGCCTCTCCAAACCCTCCCAGCAGCCTCATGGGAAGGTTCTATTATCATCTCTATGAGCAGATGAGGAAACTGAAGCCACTTGGCCAAATACAAATATGATTTGGGTGTTCCTGAAGCCCAAACCCACATTTTTAACTCTTTGTGCCCTTTGTCAAAGTGTCTCTTAATCACTCTGGGCAGTCTCACTATTGGTGAACCGGAAGCGGGACCCGAGCAGGAAGGGGACAGAGGCAGCCCCTCCTCATCAGGGACCCTGGCTTGGGACCCTGAGGAAGGCTGTTGTGTCCACAGGCACTTCAGCCAGTGAGCGGTTTGCAACCGGTCCCTGCTGAGCCGGGGGACCCAGCCCACGGACTATACGCCTGACCATCCCTCAGCTGATTACTCAGCGTCACAGACCTAGCCCCGGTGCCTGGGTGCTGCTTCCAGCTGGGCCACCAGGTGCACTGCCAGGAGCCACGCCTCCGGCCAAGTGGACACCGGCCCCATGCAGAGATGAAACGATGCCCAGGGGTTCACCATAGCCCAGCACTCATGAAAGTGCGCTCCCGAGTGAGGATGCCCCGGGGGCATACCGACTGTGTGTCCTTGGGCAAGTCATGTAACCTCCCTCTGCCTCAGTTTCCTTAACTGTCAAGCACCAGCCCCCAGCATTGTAGAGGGGACCCAGCAAGTAGGTAGAGTTAAAGTGGCTGCATGTAGTAAGTGCCTGGTTGGCTGCTCTCATTCCCCATTAGTCCATGACTGGCCCTGGAGTGTGACTTGCTCTCGAACGCCAGCTCCTGTTGATAAAACAGTGTGAAGAGCTAGGACTTTGGAGTCAGGTCAAGTTCTGCCACGTCCCAGCTGTGTGTGACCTCGGGCATGTCCCCTCCTCTCCCTGTGGCCTCAGTTTTCTCATCTGTAAAATGGGAACTTTGTTCCTCTCTTCCTCATAGGGATGCCGTAAAGATTAAGTGAGCTGCTGTGCGTGTGGTGCCTGGCCCGTGGGATGGCTGGGTCCTCCTCTCACTGCTATTGCTACACGGTGTCCCAGATCACAATGGGACTCCCGGCCTCTGGCCCTCTGGTCAGAATGATTACTTCTGGTCAGCAGTGGGGTAGCCACGGGTGTCAGGTGACAAGTGAGAGTCCTGGGAGTGGCTCAGCCTCTGTGGTCCGCCTACTCCAGCCCCCGAGGCAGGACTGAGGCCTCGGATTCACCTCTCACCACCATCTAAGGAGATAATAAAAGGCTGATTCTTTTTTCTTGGTAAAATTTCAGCAGAAAGTGTACGCATCATTAAATATGGAAATCCAGAATTTTATTAGCAATCTGCTAGAT